GCCTTCCAAGTGCTGGAACTTCAGTATGGAGCCTGTCCTGGAACTAGCTCAGCACACCAGGCTGGCCTTAAACTCACAGTCTGCCTATACCTCATGAGTGATGGAACTAAAGGTGTGCCCCACCACTGCATGGCAAATGCTTTTTAACTAAAAAAACAAACAAACAAAAATATTAACGTAACAGAGGTCAGAGAGTAATGGCATTTACTGCCAAGCCTGATAACCTGAGTTCAGTCCCTAGGACTCACATAGTAGAGAGAGTGAACAATCACAGAATATGCTGAATTGCATGTGTGCTCTATGGTGCATCCCCTCTCCACGAAAAAAATGTGATAAAATTTAAAAAGTAAATAAGTAAAACCCCAACCAATCAGTCATCATGGCACGGACCTTTAATCCCAGTATTGGGGAGGCAGAGGCAAGAGAGTCTCTTATTTTGAGTTCAAGGCCAGCTTGGTCTCCACATTTCCAGCCAAGGATCCATGGTAAGACATTTGCAATAAATAGGACAGCCAGCCCAAAATCAGGCACATAAGAACTACCACTCACAAAGTATAAATAGTTGTAAAATGACAGGTAAGGAAAATGCTATCATTTGTGGGACACAGTAGCTCTGCCTATGATCTAAGCACTTGATAGGCTGAGACTGGAGAACTGTTATGTGAGTTAGAGCTGGGCTCCTGCCCTACATAGTTCCATGCCAATCTGGGTACCAAATGTAACCCTGTCTCAAAAACTACAGACAAGGTAACATGTTTTAGCAGACGAAGATGCTTGCTGCCAAGGCCAATAACCTTAGTTCCATCCCCAGAACAAACATGGTGGAAGGAAAAGAATCAACTCCTCTGTGCTGTTCTGACCTCTGCATGCATGCTATCTCTCACATTTGTGAGACACACACTATATACATATATATATCTATGCTGTCCTCCTGATAAGTTATCCTAAATCCATGTATTCCTTGGCCTGAGGTCAGCTAGAAAGCCATGAATGAAGGTAATGGCTACAGTACAATGCAAATGGTGCCCCAGAGCCACAACACTCAAATTCTAGTTGACCTGGCATTTTAGCACTCACTTTCCCTCCTCATCTATCACAGAGGAAATCTCCCCAAACTATGCAACATTCCAACAACCTAAAGAAGTGACTGAAAGAATGGGGGCCACCTCAACACAAAGTATCTCCACCAGTTTTAATTGTACTGATGCATTTAAAACAAAAAAGTAGAGGGTGGTGGTGCACGCCTTTGATCCCAGCACTAGAGAGGCTGAGGCAGGCAAATTTCTGAGTTTGAGGCCAACCTGGTCCACAAAGTGAGTTCCAGGACAACCAGGACTGTTACACTGAGAAACCGTGTCCTTGAATAACAAAAATGAAAATAAATAAAAACAAAATCAGAATACAGCTTAGTTTGGTAGCTTTTGAAGCCTTTAATCTCCATCACTCAGGAGACAAAAGCAGGAGGATCTTGGTAAGTTTAAAACCAGCCTAGTCTATGAAGTGAGGCCTCATTCATAGATAGATAATTAGACACATACATACATACATACATACATACCTACATACAAATAAAGAGCAGGAGGGATTGCTCAGTAGTTAAAAGCATTAGATATCCTTGCTTAGGTTCAAATTACAGCATTCACATGGCAGCTCAAAACCATCTGTAACTCCAGTTTCAGGAGATTCAATGCCCTCTTCTGGCCCCCAGGGCCACTAGGCATGTACAGGGTACACAGATATACATGCCAGCAAAACAACCATGCACACTAAAAAAATGAAAGAACGAAAAAAAAAAAGAGTCAGGTGTGGTGGTGCATGCTGCAATCCAGGGTTCAGGAAGTTGGGGCAGGGAGATTATGATTTCAGAGCAATCTAGAGCTGTCAAGCTGGCTCAGCAGACAAAGGTGATTGCCACCAAGCCTAATAACCTGAATTTGATCCTCCGAACACGCAGGGGAGAAGAAAAAACCGACATCCACAGGTTGTTACCTGACCACTATCCTTGCACCATGACATACGCACCCATAAACATATTCTTTCACTCCCTACCACTACTCTTATATGCAAAAGACCAATCTGAGCTACAGTGAGACCATGTCTCAAAAAATAAAAAAGAAAGAATTTGAAAAGAGCTGGCTTTACTTTAGAACGTGGAAGAAAGTAGAAGACTTCTTTTATAACCCCAGAGAACAAGAAAGGAAAAGTAATTAATAAGAAAGCCTCCAGATTAAAGGAGCTTCAACTCTGCTACTCTATTAAGCTTCAACTATTTTGTGGATAAGAAAAGAAGTCTAAGTCCAGAGAAAGTAAGTAAAAACAAAACAAAAACCCCAAGCCGGGCAGTGGTGGCACACACCTTTAATCCCAGCACTCAGGAGGCAGAGGCAGGTGGATCTCTGTGAGTGTGAGGCCAGCCTGGTCTACAAGAGCTAGTTCCAGGACAGGCTCTAGAACTACAGTGAAACCTTGTCTCGGAAAACAAAA